CAATTCCCCCCGCGCAAGAGATTGCCTTTAGACAGCTGCATATCAGCAACGGATCGTACAGTAGTCGATTCTCACAATTCGCGGAAATGGACGTCGCAAGGGCTCAAGATGAGGCAGACAACATATACACTCCCCAGGAGCAATACCGGCCCGTATCCTACCCGAACCAACCGACCCCGCCGGCTGCTGCACATTCTCCCCGCGAGACCGCACAATCGCCGACGGCTGGGTCGCAGCACTCTTCGAATAACAGTGGGCGCAACAGCTACTTCAACACCCATGCGCAGGAGGGGGAGCTGCAAGTCCCGCATAGCACAGTGCCTAGACCCAGCTCTGCGTACACCCTGGGCTCGGAACTGAATGCACGAGGTCGTACAGAATCCCCACGCCTTTCAGTGTATGGAACCTCCCCGTCACCTAGCGGATCACCTAATCCTTATGCCCGCCCCATCTCAACCAGCCGCCGTTCTCCCGACGTCAGGCCGGAGTCGTCTTACATCGATCTGACCAATCTACCGTACAACCAGCAAGTCGCCCCTGCAGCCAACTTTGGTAATGCAGCTCTGCGGGGCGCTGTGGGGCAGAATGCTTCCCTGCTCAACCAGAAGAAGACGCTGGAAATGTACAGGGCGAACGTCAAGAAGACAGCGGATACTGCAGTGCAATACGAGTTCGCGCTGTTCATGGTACAAGTAGCCCGCGAGATTCTGGGGTCGGAGAATGACAGTGATGACCACGGCATGAACCCCACAGAATTGCTAAAGGAAGCACGACAGATTCTTGAGAGATTAGCCGCCCGCAGCTATCCGTTTGCACAGTACTACCTTGCAGATGGATATGCGTCAGGTCTGTTCAACAAGGACAAGCCGGATCACGATCGCGCATTTCCACTCTTTGTAGCTGCTAGTAAGCATGGACACGCGGAATCAGGATTCCGTGCCGCACTCTGTTACGAGTTTGGTTGGGGCTGCCGCAAAGACTACGCCAAAGCTGTTCAGTTTTACCGCGCTGCAGCATCGAAGAACCACCCGGGAGCTGCGACACGACTTGGAAAGGCTTGTTTGACAGGCGATATGGGCCTTCAGAACAAGTACAGGGAAGGACTAAAATGGCTCAAGCGAGCTACTGAATCAGCCGACTTTCAATACAACATTGCGCCGTACGAGCTTGGTCTGCTGCACGAGACGGGCTTCGGGGACGACATCTTCAAGGACGAGGTGTACGCAGTACAGCTCTTCACACAATCTGCCGAGTTGGGACATCCGTTGGCTGCTTTGAAGCTAGGCGAAGCTTACGAACATGGCTTGCTACGCTGTCCTAAAGATGCTGCACTCTCCGTTCACTATTACAATTGTGCTGCCCAGGCCGATATTCCCGAAGCCATGATGAACCTATGCGCGTGGTATATGGTCGGTGCCGAACCAGTTCTGGAGAAGGACGAAAATGAGGCGTACGAGTGGGCTAAGAAAGCTGCGGAGCATGGTGAGTCTGTCAACATTCGTAGAGGTTAATCATGCTAATTCTGTCAGGTCTTCCAAAAGCCGAGTATGCCTGTGGATATTTCACAGAAATGGGCATTGGCTGCCGGAGGGATCCTCTAGAAGCAAATGTCTGGTACGTCAAAGCCGCAGACTCTGGCGACGAGCGGGCGAAACAGCGTCTTGCCATTATTCAAGCTGCCGCATCCGGGCAATCACACACTCCAGCAAAAACCAATACCGATAAAGGCAAACTTAAGAAAGAGAAAGTCAGCAAGGAAAAGGATGTCAAAGAAAAAGACGAAAACTGCGTCGTAATGTGAAGAGGGGCGTGTTGTCGATTCTTTCCGTCCATGCTTCTGTTGTATTTTCTCTTATACCCGATTCGCGATCTGTTTTTCCTTCTCTTGCATGTGTATGGGTTGGTGGTTTCCGCCATTCATTAATGGGTATGGCGGTAGTTCTTTTAATATGGGGGGATGTGCATATACGGCGTTCGTGATGCATTACTCTTGCATATCACCGCTCGGGATTTGAGCGTCAAAATCTTTCCGCACTTTTGATGGTAGCATATCGACGGTTTTTGCAGCTTCGTCATAGCATGCAGAATAGAGTTAAATTCTGAGGACAGCTGAGATCAGTGGAAAAACAAAACGGATGATGGTACCAGGTGCCTTGACTATGTGCTATGGTTGTACGAATGACTGTATCTTATGATAGGCCTATATGGTGACAAAACTTGTAGTCGATCGTCATGTATTTATCGTACATTCGTGCTAATGACAAGATTGTTTCTGTCGCCAGATTTAACATTGAGTACCTGTCAGACAAACCCTTCTTTAGCGCAGACTAAAGCTTCTAGAACCGGAGTATGTAAGATCAGATGTATGTTCAGCACGGGTGTCGACGGCTTTGTTGCCATGAACGCATCTCGTGATAACGTAGTTGTCATAAAAGCGCCGATTGGTCAATCCCTGCAGCACCTTACGTAGCTTCAACCTCACAATAGTCCGTTCGTGTCCGCTCTATACGATACTCTCGGTACCTAATTCCCATGGCCCACTCTTTGCAACAATCCGCTTCGACTGCGTTTCAGGCCACATGAAAGGGATCGTGTGCGGCAAACAACGTACAAGCAAAGGGCGTGAATTGTGTAACACGCAGCTGTCTGTATGGCTTTGGCACGTGTTCCTTGTGGAGTCGCACGCTTTGCTTTCCCCAGACCGTGGCTAGCCGCTACCCGAAATGGTAGGCATGATGCAGGTGCACGTTCGCGGCTCCACCTACACGCCTTAGACTACATATGTAGGGCGTATGATAACCGATAGCTGATAGCTTAGTTCGACCGAGTGAAGTTTAAGACTTGGATATCTCGAACAATCAACTTCTATTACACTCAAATAATTCATCAGCTTTCAAGGTCGTTGCTAAGTCCTTGGTAAGCTGCACTAAGGTCTGGAAGACAGGAAACAAAGAAAACATTGGAAAAACGAGGTCCAGATTACGCCCACCATCAATCTATCGTCAAAGATGTCACCGCCTTCAGCTGTCGAAGTGTCAGCAGTTTCAGACACATCTGGAGTTACTATCCCGAACCCGCTGAGTGCGCCAGTTCAGAGCAATGAAATCCATGGAAGGAGGAAGAAGACAACTGCAGCTCAATGGGGCGTAGCGGCGCCATCGGATACTGCAAACTTCAGACTGAAGTCGCATGACCACAAGCCCAAAGCCAAGCAATGGAGCCGTACGTTCTTCACACTTCAAATCAGTCTTCACGATGAGCCAGACACTAACTATGCCTTTCTAGACATCATGAGCCATGAAGCAACGATCCGCAAAGGCAACTCTCTTAAAGAGGCCGCAAAGTATCTCGGCACACCTGGAATCATCTCCCTCGGCGGCGGTTTACCATCCAGCGAGTACTTTCCCTTCGAAGAGCTATCGATCAAAGTGCCCAAGATCGGCCACTTCTCAGAAGCCGAAACTAGGGAATCCGGCGTGACCATCACTGCGGGCAAACATGACCTTGCTGAAAACAAGTCCAATTTTGATATCGCTACTGCGTTCAATTACGGCCAGGGATCTGGTTCAGCACAGCTTCTACGCTTCATGACTGAACACACTGAACTGATACACGATCCGCCGTATCAAGACTGGAAATGCACCATGACAGTTGGAAGCACATCAGCGACTGATATGCTCCTTAGAATGTTCACCAGACCTGGTGACATGATCCTATCAGAAGAGTACACTTTCTCTGCTTTTGTAGAGACCGCGCGACCGTTGGGCGTACGCGTTTGCGGCGTCCCAATCGACAACCAAGGACTTCTCCCCACTGAGATGGACTCGCTCCTCACAAACTGGGACCAAGCTGCTCGAGGGGCGCGGAAGCCCCATCTCTTATACACAGTGCCCACAGGTCAGAACCCTACCGGAGCAACACAAAGTGCAGAGCGCCGGCATGCCCTCTATGCTGTCTGCCAAAAGCACGACATCCACATATTAGAAGACGAACCATACTACTTCCTCCAGATGCAACCCTACACCGGCGCCAACGCCCCTGCCATCCCCCCACCAGCATCCCACGCAGACTTCATCAAATCCCTCGTTCCAAGCTACCTCTCCATCGACACAGACGGCCGCGTAATCCGCATGGACTCGTTCTCCAAGGTCATCGCGCCTGGTTCGCGAATCGGATGGATCACTGCCCCCGCCCAAGTCATAGAACGGTATTCCAAATATGCTGATGTATCGACGCAGAATCCGGCTGGCATGTCCCAACTCATTCTCTTCAAGCTCCTAGATGAACACTGGGGTCACGCCGGGTACCTGGACTGGCTGATCTACATGCGCATGCAATACACACACCGTCGGGACATAATCCTCTCCGCATGCACAAAGTACCTACCCACTGAAGTTATGAGCTGGAAACCACCCATGGCTGGCATGTTCCACTGGATGCAAATTGATTTCAGAAAACATCCCAGTTATCCTGAGAAGAGCATTGAGAGTATTGAGGAGAGTATTTTTATGCGCGTTATTGACCATGGGGCGCTAGTCATGAGGGGCAGCTGGTTCTATGCGGATGCGGAGGAGAAGCATGACACGTTGTTTTTCAGGGCTACGTATGCGGCGGCGCTAGGGGAGAAAATCGAGGAGGGGATCAGGCGATTAGGGGAAGCGGTTAGGGAGGAGTTTGGGTTGGTTGCGTATGCTAGAGATACTTGATGGGTAATTGAGATGGGAATTGACTTCAGTGCTCGTGGTCTTGCATTGACTCGGTGGTAATTGTTTCGGAGTATAGCAGGATGATTCTTTCAGCATACATGTCACTGCTGAAACCAAGGCTGTCCACGCCTCGTCCATATCTCTAGTACTCTTACAGATATTCAATCCCTAGGCTTTCCTTTTATAAACCCTTTAGCCCATTGCGCAACGCCTTGATACCGACAGACAGGCAAGTTCCGCTTCCACTCTGCTTTGTATTGGGACTCTCTTGTAACCCTTCCCTGCGCTTCCCGCTCAGTTAATAAAGTTCACACAGAAGAAGTGCAGTAGCAAGCTGCCAAGGATGAAGTCTGCAAAAGCCCGCTCATGCGATATGTTCTCAAAGTGCACCTTGTTCTCCGAGTTTGTCTGGATGCGCAGAGAGGCTGTGAGGACGAATTGACCGACTGTTGCGCTGAAGCCGGAAAGAAAAGCGTTGAAGGGCTATCGGAGAGTGTTAGCCAACGGTTCTAATTCTGTACCTTTACATGCGTGATGTAGGACGTTGGGAAGCAGGGACAAGAGGCAACGTACAAAGTTTCCAACCAAGACTACATAGAGGAATTGCAGAGCACCGACGATAACGAGAAACGCAAGGAAGGTATCGAGGAGCTTTGTTCGCTGGGGTGTCTTGGAGACGTATTTATCCCATATTCCTTGCGCAATGGCTGCTGCGTCTGTGTTGTTTGCTTTGGCTTTGGTTGATCGTACGGGTGCCGGGGCACTGGTGGTTGTGGAAGGAGCGTCAGCCGAGGCAGTGGTGCGCTGTTTTGGGGCCATTGTCGGGGAGCTTCAACGGTAAACGTCGAGTGGTGGGCGTTCAGGGGATATTGAAGATGACGCGCGGTGGTGATGCCCGTGGTGGATAGCTTGAGGCCACATGTTCGTGGTTGGTCCAAGCTGGGGATTACGAGTCGGCGTCGGTTTCTTCGGGTGTCCGCGAATCCCCGCCGCAAGTGCCATCATTCACTTGGCCCAGCCATCTCCAAGCATTCGACGAGAAACTTCTACTGCTTCAGTTTGTTTTTTCATCCTTCAAATATCGACGCCTTTACCCAGACTTCACTGTATCACTTGAAAAACTACATAGTAGAGTGCAACGTGACAATGGTGAGCAACACCACCAATCGCTGTTATACACGAGTCATGATGTAAATGAATGCATGCTGACTGGACAATCAAGTCTCTAGGAAACATCGCTCTCATCCTTGGTGCTCTTACTGCTGGTGGCGGTATCACCGGTTACGTGAGGACTGGCTCCGTGCCATCAATCGCAGCTGGATGTACTGTTGGACTTCTGGTATGCGCCGACCCTACTACTTATCACTTCTAGCGCGTCTAACATAGACAACAGTATATGCTCGGTGGCTACCGTGTCAACAGCCGCGCAGCCTACGGTGTCGAGTTGGCTCTTCTCGCTTCTGTCATTCTTGCGGGTAGCTCAATTCCTCGCGCGATCAAGTCCGGCAAGCCGCTTCCCATTGGACTGAGCATTCTGGCGACATTCGGTCTGTGGACATTCGGCAATGCGTACATGAACAAACGCGTATGAACTCTGCGAAGCAGCAACCAAAGAGAAGGGAGTGCGTCGTGCTAAGAACCGTATATTATCGTACCATGTCCATAAACAAATCTTAACTGGATGCAAAATGGAATCCCAAGCGCCAATGTTTACTTTGGAACTGCTAACGTTGCACAAACAGAGTCACCAAACAATGCAACCGGCTGTACCCCCAAAATACAGACGTCTTCTAGTGTACCTCGAGTAGCGAGAGTCGGAAAACGCCTGTCAGCGACCTGATGATAACAGTCTACTTTGCCCTAGCCACGTGCGGCTTCCACATGTTGGATATTAAGTTGACGTTGGCGGTCGTTCCATTCTCCAAAAATTCGGACGTTCTAACAGGCTCCCCACAACGCCGTGTCGCTAGGGGCCCCGGGTTATTTGGAAGAATGCAATACCTACCATTTAACGTTGAAGCAACGTCAAGGAAACTCCCCACCAATTTAAGACCCCAGTCCAGCTTCGCGTGTCAACTGCCGTCGTTTGCCTAGGATTTGTCCAGTTTTAGCGCCATTCAGTAGCACCGCATGAACGAATACTGGCTATCGCGAGTATTATTCCGGGTCACAATGCAGTTCAAGCTCATCAAAATTGATAGCGCAGAGTTTCGTCAACCAATTGTACTACATCGGAATAAGATTCTCGACTATCAGCCTACCTTTTCCAGCAGTAAACTCAGGCTGAAACTCGTCCGAATGTTCAAAAGATACATAGCGACCACAGTCATGTATCCCAGTCCGTCATGGATCGCAGCTCCGAGTGCGTTGATTGGCAGTTCAATATGGCTTCTCCAGTCCTTCTCCAACATTTTCATTTAACACATACAAGAAGATTGAAGACAAATTACAGATTGAGAAGATCGAAGTAAGTCCCGGCGTGGCTCGCTGCCTCGTCTATTACCACGATGGATGTTGGATGTGGTTGCATAAAGAGTTGGACAAGGCCTCCTGAGTGGCAGCTACAAACGTCTAGATACGTGCCACCTAGCCACAGAACCCACCATTATGCGTTACACTCAGATTCTTGGCAGTGCTGCTGCACTTGGCGGTTATGGTTAGTGTGGTCTTCAAGTGAACGGACGATACTGACATTGATGAAGCTCTTGCTCAAGAAGGTGAGGCACAGTCTACTGTTGTCTACGATTCAGAAACGAAGATCAGTTATTCGTCGTACACGGAGCCAGAAACAGGGATGTCATTTGGTGTTGCTCTTCCAAAGAATGTTACGGACCCGTATGATGCCATCATTAGGATCACCGCACCGATCGCCAGCCAATGGGTCGGTTTCTCATGGGGAGGTACTATGGTCTGGAACCCGTTGAGCGTTGCTTGGCCTAATGGCCAATCTGGGACTATCTCTGCTCGCTTCGCTTTGTATGTCGTATCTCCAAGGTTTACGAGCACGTTACTAACTCAACACAGCAGTATTGGCTTGCCGCAGGGGTACGATGGAGCCGAGCATACATACCTCAAAGGCACAAAAACAAACGCAACGCACTGGACAGTCAATGCGCTATGCAAAGGCTGCACTGGATGGCAAAACAGCGAAGACACAAGATATGCGCTCAACGGTACCAGTACAACAGAGTTCGCCTGGGCTTACGGTGTCTCTTCGGTCGAGGATTCTGCCCGAAACGATTCCGCTTTCAACGTCCACCAGGCCTGGGGGAAATGGATCCACAACCTAGACGCTGCTCGCATCGATGATTTCGATTCTTTGGTCAAGACTAACCTGCTGACGGCGCCTGTAGCCACACCTTCCGCTGCTCCGACCACTGTCGTGACAAGCGTCGTACCGTCTGCGTCTGCGACGTTAAAGCCAGCAGCGCCTGCTGCCATCCCAGCCTCGTGTTCTGGCGCTGGCAACCCTGCATTCCAGGGCAGTCTTGCGGCTGGATGGAAGGCCACAAAGATTGCGGGAGGCTTGACCAGCCCTCGCAGCATTCAATTTGACAGTGCTGGGAATATGTTGGTCGTTCAATCTGGCAAGGGTATCTCGTACCATAAGATGGGCTCAGACGGCTGCATCACTTCCACCAAGATGCTGGTCTCGCAGAACAACCTGAACCATGGTATCGCAATGAGTCCTGACGGCAAGACGCTGTATGCGAGCTCCATGACTCAAGCTTATTCTTGGCCATACGATGCCGCTGCGGGTACACTGGGTACTAGAGCGACTATCGTCACCGGCATGTACAATGGCGGCTCCCATCTGACTCGTACTCTTGCCATTGCGCCACAGAACCCGAACTTGCTGGTGGTCTCCCATGGATCCAACGCAAATATTGACTCTGCTACGTCGGATCCCAAGACTGGCCGCGCCATCATCAAGGTGTTCGACTTGTCAAAGGTCCCTAGCGGAGGGTATAACTATGTGTCTGGCGGATACAACGCTGGATATGGACAACGTAATGACGTAGGAATCTGCTTTGATAAGAACAACATGTAAGCACCACTCATGGTGAAGTATGTGCGTTGAGAACTAATGATCGTAACAGGCTTTGGGGCGTAGAGAACAGCGGCGACGACTTCAAGCGCAACGGAAAAGACATACACCAAGACAACCCCGGCGAGAAGATCCACTATATGGGAGACGTCACCAAACCCAATGAAAACTGGTACGGCTATCCATCCTGCTTTACGGTCTGGAAACCCAGTGACTTCACCGACAAGACATTCAAAGTCGGCGACTTCTTCGTCCAACAACCAAGCACGAGCATGAACGATGACACCTGCGTTCAAAAGGCTACACCTCCCAAGCTGACGTTATTCCCGCACTCCGCACCCATCGATTGCAAGTTCGATGCCGACAGCACCACCATGTACATCACTTACCACGGTAGCTGGAACCGCAATCCCGTTACCGGTTTCAAGCTTGTCGCCGTGCAATTTAAAGTCGGTACTGATGGGAATTATACGCCAGTTGAGCCTTTGACTAGTACTACAGCTGCCAAGGACATCTTCTACAATCCGGCTGTGGAGAAGTGCCAGGGCAATGGACCAAGTTTTAGCTCGGGTTGCTTCAGACCTGCAGGTTTGGCTTGGGATTCCCAGGGAAGGCTGTTCATGACGAGTGATACGAGCAGCAACGGAGAGCTTTGGGTGTTGGGTAAGTCGTAGAAAACGAGGCGTGGCATCAGGTTTGTGGGTGTCCAGTGGGCGTCTCTGGGGAGAAGACGGTTTGTGTATACAATTACCTATACAGAACAACATTACGGTCGTTTCTACTTTCTCATTTTGTGCTCATGTTAGCCGCTATTTTTCCAGACTTCGTATGCTGAAGATGGTATTTGCGAAGCAAAAGAAGCTAGACGGTAAAAGAGAGAGCGCATGTCCTAGCATCAATTTGAAATACGACCTTGTCGTATACGTGAGGAAAGAGAGAGAGTGGCGTCCTGAAAACGAGGGACTGCCAGTACCATCTAAGCGTAGTATGAGTGAGCGTGGCAAGCCATCTGTAGGCTATGACACCATAACAAGACACGTGCGGGACGAAATCTCGCTTGTGGGGACGCCCTTAATTAGGGCGAGATCCTGTTGTTGAACGACTGGACCTGCCGCTCCAAAGCTGTCTAACAGTATAGCTGAGACAACAACCATCGTAGTCCAAGCGTAGGGTGGCACATGAGTTCAAGTAAAAACCCGCTTTCCCTGAATTCCATGTGCCGGCAGAAGTCATGGTGGGGGGAGAAAAGGCGGATATCGGCAGTGGGCTGAGTGATTTGCATGCTGAAATGCGATCTCCAGGAACACAGCGTGCCTGGCAAGAACTTGTTATTGCGCATAACGATCGTCGATGCTGTCGGTTATTCTTGGGTATTCATCTCGCTTTCGCAATGGTTGCCGCCCCCTTTGTGACGCGGCGGCAGAGCAACAGGTTTTTCAGGGAAACATGGTGTTGCAAAGAAATGTCAGGGTCGCTGCAGATAGTTGGTCGTTGGATGTGCACTTCCAAGGCCTGCTCATGCGCATCCGGCAGAATGCCATGCGACTCGCCAAAACCCATCAACCCCATCGGAGCGACTAGGCTCGGTTTCACCCGACACGCCGCCGGAAGGGCAAGTCAAGCATGAGCCAAGAATTCTTCCTTCTACTAATCTTTCACATGTCGTAGTCACCAGCTCCGAGCGGCCGAAGCACGAGCTGAAGCATGACTGATGGCTCTGCGTGTCCCAATCGCCCGCTCTCGATGCTGACAAGTCCCCGGCTTGTGGCTGGAGTGGACTGGTAAGGCCGCCTTGAAGATCTTGGCTCGAAAAGCTTCGCATCTCATTGCCTATACAAGTGCTCGCTCTGCTGCAAAGAGATAGGCGTAGACAGAAGCTTTACCGATTGGGAGAGAGGTGCGGGATGCGTCAGCGAAGACAAAGAGCAGTGCATGCAGCCTGTCTAGCCTGTCAGAATCCACATAGTTATTGCGTCTCTGGCTTGTTGAGCTTTGGCTATGAAAGCAGTTGGAATGGTTGTGGTGATAACAGTGACTGACCCCTCCATGGCCCATGTCTTCTGCGTGCTAACCTCCCCTACAGCCTTCGGCCTCCGCGGGTTCTCAGGGCGTCTCTTACAAGCAGGCAAAGGTCTAGAGCGGATCAATCCCCAAGCATCTACGTCACGGGTGCGCACGGGTGATATCGCGCACTGGCTCGGCGCTAGGAAGGGCTTGAAGTGAAACGCTGCCTTTGCAGTAGCCAAAATACTGGGGGGGTCACGTCATATCCCGTTCACCTTCGCATCGGCAACCACGCCAGAGGCCGTTCCCAGCCACGATATAGTTAGACTCGCGCCTCCTCGGCTTTGCTGGCATATCCATAGCAATTATTTTTTCCCTTGCCCAGAGACACCTTCCACATCCCCCCCTCAGCAAGAGCATTCCCCCGCGTCTGCTTGCCCCCACTCTGCGCTCAGGTAGTCTAACCACGCACAACACGGGCAAAGCTCTCGCACCACCGCCACGATGAGTTCCCTCAAGAAAGCGCTTGAGAAGCTAAAGCCCGGGCACCACGGGTCGTCGGCCTCGGACGATGAGAAGAGCAGCGGCGTCAAGTCTCCCACTTCCGTCAATGGCCGCGCTCAGTCGCCTGCCGCAACGCCGCGCTCTTCCGTCACCCTAGGTCGCTCCCGACCAAGCGGCGAGCACAAACGCGGAGACGTTGCGTCTCCCACCGACAGCAGGACCAGCATCGACCAGCCCCGCGGCTCCCTCAGCGGCATCCTCCACCGCCGCACCGAGAGCCCGAACCGCACTGGCACCAACAAGTCCGCATCCAGCCACCAGCGCTCCGGCTCCCTCTCCACCCACAGCCCCATGCGAGCCGTCAAGGAGAAGCTGCACATTGGTAACGACTCGAGCGACGAAGATGCTCCCCTCAACCGCGAAGGTGAGCCCATGTCTCGTGGCCAACTGCGCAAACACGAGAAGCAGGCACAGCAGGAGGAGCGTCACAAGCAGAACTTGGAGAAGGAACAAGAACTGGAGCGCAGGAGGAAGGAGATGGAGCAACAAGCCCTGGCTGAGTTGACCCCGGAGCAGAGGTCCAAGTACGGTGTCATCCACCCCAACTCCTACTCGGGAGAGTGGAAGCATGAGCCCCGCCACAAGATCCAGGACTTCTCTGCAAAGGATGTCGGCAAGGAGGTTGTCTTCCGTGCCCGTATCCACCACCTCAGGAAGATGAGCTCCAAGTTCGTCTTCTTGATGTTCCGCCAACAGCTCGCTACTATCCAGGGTGTCCTCTTGGAGCACGCCGACATCTCAAAATACATGCTGTACTGGGCTGAGCACTTGGACGCCGAGACCATTGTCCTGGTCAAGGGTATCCTGCAGGAGCCCAAGGCCAAGCAGGGCGAGGTTCTCGGTGCCACCATTCACGACGTCGAGGTTTCCGTCCACGCCCTACATGTCGAGGCTGCCGTCACAGACCACCTTCCCTTCAATGTCAACGAGGCCGAGGTCTCGCAGGCTGAGGTTGATGCTGAGCTAGCACAGGGAGACCATAAGGAAGGCCACACGCGTGTCAAGATTGCAGACCGTACACGCTTGAACAACCGCGTTATTGATTTGAGGACAACAGCATCTCAGGGTATCTTCCGCATTCAGTCCGGTATCTGCAGACTCTTCCGTAATCAGCTCGACTCGGAGGGTTTCATCGAGATCCACACTCCCAAGCTGCAGGGTGGTGCCACTGAGTCGGGTGCCAGCGTGTTCAAGATCGACTACTTCGGTCGTGGCGCGTTCCTTGCACAGAGTCCTCAATTGGCCAAGCAAATGGCCATCTCCGCAGACTTTGGCAAGGTGTACGAGATCGGTGCCGTCTTCCGTGCCGAAAACAGTAACACCTACCGTCATTTGACCGAGTACACTGGTCTCGATCTGGAGATGCAGATTGACGAGCACTACCACGAAGTCCTCCGTGTATTGGACCGCACCTTCAAGGCCATTTTCAAGGGCATCTACGAGCAATACCGTCCTGAGATTGAGGTTATCAAGAAACACTTTCCACACGAAGACCTTGTCTGGCTGGACCAGACACCTATCATTCCCTTCGCTGACGGTGTTCGTATGCTAAACGAGTCTGGCTGGAGGGATGACGATGGCAACGAGCTTGACGTGAACGAGGATCTAGGCACCAGAGATGAGGTGCAACTTGGTCGTGTCATCAAGCAGAAGCTTGGAACCGACTACTACATCCTAGACAAGTTCCCAGCCAATGCGCGCCCATTCTACGCCATGAACGATCCCAACGATCCTACTGTTACCAACTCTTTCGATATCTTCTGCAGAGGCCAGGAGATTCTCAGTGGTGGTCAGCGTATTCACGACTCTAACCTGCTCTTGGAGAAGATGCGTAAGCTCAAGGTTGACCCCGGCTCCATGGAGGAGTACATCCAGGGCTTCCAGTGGGGAGCACCGCCCCACGGTGGTGGTGGTATTGGTCTTGAGCGTATTCTCATGTTGATGATGAACCTCGGAAACATCCGTCATGCTTCTATGTTCCCTCGCGACCCCAAGAGTTTACCGGAGCGGCCAGTCATCAAGCAGCTGCGTCATCCTGAGGCAAGCACTATGCACCCTCCGTGGGAAGGCCAGGATCGTGCTGTTGCCAAGATCGATCTACAGCCTATCGAGAAGCTTATCGCCAACTACGGTGATGCCACAAACACCTCGTGGCTGGAGCCTCGCACAGAGATCTGGCGCGACGAGAACACTGGTGCAGCTGTTGGCTTCGTACCTCAGGATGGTTTCGCCATTACTGTTGGTGACCCTCTTTGCCACGAGTCTCAATATCTCAAGACCATGGCTGGTTACCTCAAGTACATCAAGAAGGAGCGCAACCTCAAGCCGCTCTGGCTTCTTGTAGGATCTGCCACAGAGGAGGTTCTCGCAACCAAGTTCAACTGGCGCACATTCTCTGTTACTGGAGAGCAGCGTGTAGACCCAGTTCACAACCCTGCGGACAAGGACTCTGACGTTCAGCGCAAGATCCGTCACGCAGAGAAGGAGGGTGTCAAGATCAGTGACTACGCTCTCGGCTCACCACCACCGGCAGATGTCAAGCAGAAGGTTGATGCCCGTGTATCAGACTGGTTGAACAACCGCAAGGGCAAGCAGGTCCATCTGACCAACATTCACCCATGGCAGGATGAGGAGCATCGTCAATATCACATTGCCTACACGCCTGATGGTACCATCGCTGCGTTCGTCGCAATGGCCCAACTCTCACCTGATCATGGCTGGCAGGTCAAGTACTCGCTCGATTTCCCCGGCGCACCGGGTGGTTCGATTGAGTACATCGTCACGCATGCTCTCAAGCAAGTCGCCGCCAGTGGTGCGACCAGCGTCACCTTTGGTGGTGGTGCTAGCTCGAAGTTCAGTCCGGGACACAACGTCAAGGGCACTCGTGTCAAGGTGCTCAGCCGCGCATACCACGCCATCGCGACCGAGCTCAAGCTCACAAACAAGACTGAGTTCCGTGAGAAGCTAGGTGCAGTCGATGACCCAAGCTACATCTGTTACCCACCCCATGGGCTGGGCCCTATGGCGGTCAAGGCCATCTTGAACTTCTTCTCAGACGATGATGACAACAACTAAGTAACGTGTTGGTGGATGATATACACGCTAGGATAACGATACATTGATGGATGGTCGAAGGCATGATACCACAAGGCGTTTTGCTGTACGAGTAGGCGGTACCTTTTACCTGTCTGACTCTTTTGATGGGACATTTGTAGCGGGAGGACGTTAAGGTAGATAGCGTTGTTTCTTAATGTAATACCCCCATGAAAATGTTTTGTCTTCTCGATCAATGTGAGATATGCTTATGAATATGTGGATAGTTTTGTGGTTAGATTTGGGTTGCTAAGATGCTAAATTAAGCATGACCGCGGGATATCTGTCTGACCATCCTCGGCGCATTTTCACTCTTTTCCGACGTGACACCGCATCAGGCACACACGGCAGAGACATCGGTAACGACGAGGTTCCACCATCTAACATCTCACAACCGTCTTCTCACGCCGAAACAGAGGTATCGAACATTCAACGCACAACTCTCGGACAATGATCCACCTCATCGGCTACGGTGCTGCTTGGCGTCGCCTTCCCGATGACGATGGCTTCGTCGCGGGGAACCTTCGGCGCACTAGAGGAAGGCGGGGTCAAGCGCCAGAGCGTTCCGGCTTGGAGACCTTCGGACCTTCGACACGGCTAGGTGGAATGGTTTTTGGAGGCGTGCGATTGGTCAATTAGGAGATTTTGCTGATGGAGTCGAGATGGTTCTGACGTCTGCTTGTCTCGTGTTGGCGTGGGGAAACATAGCGCACGTGTGAACCCTGGGCGTAGAGAAACACTGGCATGGGACTATAAGAGGGCTATGTCTAAACGTTGAAGAGGAGGTTAGAGGCGAGTCATTCCACCCATTGTACGAGATTCGACGAAGTACGCTGGGCTCGGTGCTACTGCGAAAGTGGTTCTACACGGATAAAGAGCTCAGGTCCTCTTCCTTTCTTTCTTCCGGCTCTCTCACGATCACCTAAGATGTCTTTAACAACGCTCCTGTTGACGCCCTATTCGATCCTCCTCCTCCCGGTCATCTTCTACATCCTGCCTTACCTCCGTAACTGGCAGATCCGCGACATCCCAGCTCCATTTCCAGCGGCCTGGACAAACCTCTGGCTCTTATACCAATGTCGGCGCGGGAAACGTTATCTCGCTGTTCATGAAGCACACAAGAAATACGGAAAACTCGTTCGCCTTCAACCACATCATGTCAGTATTGCGGATGCGGACGCTATTCCTCAGATCTACGGTCATGGCAACGGGTTCCTAAAGAGCGAGTACTATGACGCCTTTGTGTCGATCAGGCGTGGTTTGTTCAACACGAGGGATCGTGCGGAACATACGAGAAAGAGAAAGACGGTGTCTCACACCTTTTCTGCCAAGAGTGTGTTGCAGTTTGAGCAGTATATTCATCATAACCTTGAAGAGCTGCAGAAGCAGTGGGATCGAAGGGCGGAAAGCGCTGAAAAGAAGGGAGAATGGTATCATATGGATGCGCTCCACTGGTTCAACTACCTGGCTTTCGACGTTATTGGAGACTTGGCGTTTGGGGAACCATTCGGTATGCTGGCCAAGGGCAAGGATGAGGCAGAGGTTAGCAAGGCGGGGCAAATCACATATGCTCCCGCTATCGAAGTATTGAACCGAAGAGGAGAAGTCAGTGGGTATGTCTAGATCATGCCCTGCAATCCTACATATCCGATCCTAGTGACTAACAACATTTAGAACCATCGGATGTTTCCCTGCCATCAAGCCCTACGCGAAACACCTCCCAGACCCCTTCTTTAGTCAAGGTATGAAGGCCATCGAAGACCTCGCCGGCATAGCAATCGCCCGCGTAAATGCACGTCTCGAGAAACCATCTGATCGTGTCGACCTCTTGGCCCGCCTGATGGAAGGTCGCGACGAAAGCGGCCAGAAACTCGGCCGCGAAGAACTCACAGCCGAAGCCCTAACCCAACTTATCGCTGGCTCAGACACCACGTCCAACACCTCCTGTGCCCTTCTCTACCACTGTCTCCAGCACCCAGATGTCGTCCGTAAGCTACAAAAGGAACTAGACGACGCCTTGCCAGATGCAGATGCCGTACCAAGCTACGCCCAGGTCAAAGATCTACCCTACCTAGACGCCGTCATAAAAGAGACAATGCGTATCCACAGCACATCTTCCCTCGGTCTTCCTCGCCTTATTCCTCCTGGCCCTGGTATAACGCTCCTAGGCCACCACTTTCCCCAAGGAACCGTCCTTTCCGTTCCCGCATACACCATTCACCACTCCACAGAGATCTGGGGCGAAGATGCCGATGTGTTTCGACCTGAGCGCTGGGAGAATGTCACGGAAAAACAAAAGGCGGCTTTTATCCCGTTCAGCTACGGGCCGAGGGCTTGTGTGGGGAGGAATGTTGCGGAGATGGAGTTGGCGCTTATTGTAGGGACGGTGTTTAGGAGGTATGAGTTTGAGATTCGACAGGGGGAGTTGGAGACTAGGGAGGGATTTTTGAGGAAGCCGCTGGGGTTGGAAGTTGGGATGAAGAGGAGGAGGTTTGATTAAGGAAACGTGTTTACGAAGATGAGTAGATGGGAGGGGGTGGTATGTGATGAAGATCTCAAGAAAGTATAGCGATAGCGTTGTCTTGAACGCATTAAGAGAACATACGAATATGGTACATATTTGCAATTAGTCAATTCAATACAAAAAAGACATTCACAACAACTGGCTAAAACCGATGTTTGTCCAGACTCAAACATGCACCAAAGTATAATATGTAACTGAAATGTAACAAAGGGGGTATAGCAACTTCCCTGAAACTTGTATATCAGAGAAATCGTCAATAAAGAAGTCCTCGCTACCTGCACAGCGTCACGTTGGCCATCATCCTGTGGGTCTGTGCGATAGTCTTCTTATCCTTCGGCCTGCCGTCATCAGATTTCTCGTCCCTTTGCCACTTATCAATTCGGCTGCTGTCGGTGATAGGACAAGTGGAGCATATACCAGGTAGAGGTTGTATGTCTGGATGCTGTTCGTACGTGGGATGCTGTTTACAGCCACAGTCGCTATATTGATAAAAGGTCCAGCAGTATCTTGAAGGTGTATACTCAAGTTCTACGTGACCGCAACCGCTAGCATATCGGACCCATATGATGCATCGTGGCGGTGGGTGTGCTGGAGGAGGAATATTGTGCGGTACTGAGCCCGGCTGTACTGACATGGTAAGGGAGTTCGATGCTGGAGACTGACAATTCACAAATCCGAATCGTTGGCTTCTTTGACTCATTCTTGTACTCCACTCTTACCATTGTGGGTGATGTATGATCCTTCACGAAGCTGCAGTCAAAGGACAGGCTATGAAGATTTATCGAGAAGAGTCGATGGAAGCGAGAGTATGAGTACAAAATGAGTGTGCATATCAACACAGGCATGTGAAGATCACCAAATCCCTAGAACCATACGCCAAACCCCTCAGCCTGATGATTTGGATCCCCGTCTACTTTCCATTCATACCCTCTGTGATATTCATTACGATCCCTCATAGGCATCTTCCCGCTTCGGTGCCGGTGGCTTGAAGTTCAAAGTGTTTGGTTTGTGGGCTTCGCAAATCCCTTCTACACGATCACGAGTGGGATGAGGCTTGATATCACTTTTTTCGGGACTTGCGGGATAGCTGCAGTTACCTTTCTCTTTATACTTCCAACATTTTATGATGAGATCGTATACGACGGCGTGATAGTTCCAGCCTTGCCACTGTTGTATATAGAGTGTACATCTCTCCTGCCGAATACCATCGTAGTCGTCAGCCAGAGAGTCGAAGGGATTATCAGTCAACATCTTCGATCGTGGAATCTATGGAGTTTGAATCGTGTTCTTGGAGACTTCGATGACGAGATTTGTGTGTTGAGAGGCGACGGGTAGTAGATGCAATCACCGCAGGTACGACGTAGAGTCTTAGTATGTAAGACTATTTGGGTTGTGTTGTTTAGAGAGACATCATGGTATCGTTCTTTAAGCTTCTATACCCTCTCATAGAGTCATCACTAATAAACGAGTCTTCGAAGAGCCGCAGTCAGAGGACGGGTAGGAGCATCTCCTGAGTCCAGCTACTGTGATATTGCTCCTGTGATACTTAATGTGTCAAAAAGTATGACTCTCTAGAGGGTAAGAAACGGCGGGACACGAAACTAGTTTGTCCGTACTATTGGTGTATGACTCTGCTATAACGAACTTGACTGAATGTAACAAAAGCATTGTACCCGCTGACTCGCGCGTCTATCTGAGAATCGCATTGTTGCTCGGTATTGATCTATATTCAGATTAGAGATGCAGTTGCGTAGTGGGAGGTGCAAGGAGAGCGGAATTGAGAAAGACGTTTGAAATGGCCGGAGTCAGATTAGAGATGTAGTTGCGTAGTGTGGTGTGCAAGGAGACTTCACTGGTCTGAAAGAGAATGAGCCAGCTTTAGGGACACATATCGATGAAGGTTAGTAGACGTAGCTATAGTAGCATTCGGCTCATTCTAGTCTTGTAGACTGGAATCGTCTGGATGTTTGTATTGATCACTGCTTTCTGGATCGTGTGTTGCGAGATCGTGGGGGTCTTCTTAAGTGGCTGTTGACGAGGGTATACTGGAGTTATTCACGTTTCACTGTAGCTGGAGACACGCTGAGGTTCGTTGGTTGCTCATGTATTTCACATCCTCAGTCTGTGAAGTGGGTCGCAGTGACGTTTAAGCTAGGCGCCCTAGTTTGCGGCCACCGTGCGCGAAGGCGCGCCCTCCGCCCAACACGCGACAACTCAACAACGCCGTACTTAATATGGATCCTCATGAGGAGGCTCTACAAGGCGCCATTCGCGATCTCGAATCAGGTGTTTTTACAAGTCAGAGGGCAGCTGCTAAGGCCTGGGCAGTTCCTCGAACCTCAATTCAGCGCAGGCTGCAGGGCAGCGTTCCACACGCGATAGCTCACCAGCAACAGCAGCGATTGACCCCAGAACAAGAGAGTTTTATAGTTGATTGGATACTTGAGGAGGATGCGCGATCTCTACCTCCATCTCATGCGCGTGTACGTGAGATGGCGACTCGGATATTAAAGCTCGGCGGCGACCACGAGCCTCTCGGCCAGCGATGGATATCCTCCTTCCTCACCCGTCAACCTCGAGTTGCAAGCATTGTCGGACGATCGATTGAGGCCTCGAGGGCCGAGGCTGCGACTCCTGATCAGATCCTAGCGTTCCTTGAGCTCTTCCACAGGACTCGGATTGAGCTTAATATACGAGTGGAGGATATATGGAATATGGATGAGACTGGCATCGCACTAGGAGTATGTACAAACTCTCAGGTGATCGCACGAGCTGGCAAGCGTAAGGCTTACGTGAAAACTCCAGGCGATCGTGAGTGGGTATCAATCCTTGAGACAGTCTCAGCGGCTGGGCGCAAACTCAGGTGTATGGTGATCTTCAAGGGACAGAGCCTACAAACAACGTGGTTTCCATCCAGATTAGTGCCAGACTGGTTATATACTACCTCTAAGAATGGATGGACCTCGCATAAGATAGGATCTGAGTGGCTAAGGAGTATATTTATCCCAGAGACTCAGCCTAATGGAAATCGATGGAGGATACTTATACTTGATGGCCACGGGTCTCACGTCGATATTGAGTTCATGCTACTCTGCCGTCAGCACAGAATATGGACTCTATATCTCCCTCCTCACGCCTCTCATGTCCTGCAGCCTCTGGACCTAGCTCCTTTTAGCGTACTTAAGTCAGGATATAGAGCTGAGATTAGAGCTCTGTCTGCTCTTGATGATGCAGCTCCTGTTAAGAAGGAGCGCTTTATATCATCATACTATCATGCGCGAGAGATAGGCCTATCTGAGCGTGTGATTCGAGCTGGTTGGAGAGCTACAGGCATATGCCCATACAACCCTAGTGTAGTCATTCACTCCTCTCAGGTTTCTGCACGTCCAATCACTCCTCCACCACCTACACAGCATCAATCTTCTACAGATCTACTCTTCTCAACCCCGAAGAGAGCTCAGGATATATATCAAGCTCAACAGCAGCTCCTACAGTCAGAATCCCTCTCTCGGAGCACACGTCTAGTGCTAGGCAAGGTAGGCAAGGCTATCTCCTTGTCAAGTGCGTACTCAGCTCAACTAGAGGCAGAGGTTCAATGCTTGAAACATCAACTAGATCAACTCCAGGGTACAGAGACAAGAAAGAGAATTAGAGTTAATCCAAATGAGCGCTTTAGCAATGCTGAGAGTATTAAAGCTGCTATAGATAAAGCAGCAGCTCAAGCTGCGCAGGCATCAACAAAGAAGACTGAGAAGGCTGCAAAAGCTGCTGCAGCTCAAGCTGCAGCTCATACCCTAGCATCTATGTGTACACAGTTTCAAATATAAGCGCTGTTGTTGAGTTATCGCGTGTTGGGCGGAGGGCGCGCCTTCGCGCACGGTGGCCGCAAACTAGGGGTGGCCGCAAACTAGGGCGCCTAGCTTAGTGAAGCGCGGAACCAGGCGCCCCAGTTTTAGCCGCACGGGCCAACGCTTAGCGTAGCGGCCATTGTCGCGAACTCCCGGACATCTACGCGTATCGCAGTCAAAGGCTCAGTCAACACCCGCCACAAACCTTGACCGCAACCCACCCGCCGTAATCTCGGAAGCAGGATCGCCTGCGTCGCCTAACATGGCGCCCAACGAGCTCGCCGACGTAGCGGACGACGCCTCGTCGGGCGGCTCTTTCACCCTGTTGAAGCAGCAGCTCGAGCTCGACTTCAGTTTTGCACCGCGCCGCGTCAAAGGCCTTACTACACTCGACATACAGCCCGACCAAGCGCAACTGCGGGATATTACACTGAACTGCCGCCAACTGAGGCCGACGAGCATCAAGATCGAGGGAGAGAGGGCCGCCTTTAGCTACTCGAACCTTCACCAGCGCCTGACGCTATATCCCGGCACCGGCCTCGAGCAATACCACTATGCAAAAGAGCGGATAGCGCGACATACACAGGGCGGGGAAGATGAGCTGGTTATTGCTGTGCCTGAAAAAGTCAAGATTCGGGAAGTGAAGCCTTCGGAGGCTGGTATGACCGACGACGCCCCGGGCACCTTTTATGCGCCGCTGAAGCTGGAGATTGAATACGAACTGGACGATTTCCGGGACGCGCTACAATTTGTCGGACTGGAGGATGGAGATGCACGGTACCCGCATGCCTACACGCGCAACTCGTCCTTTCCTGGTTCAGCATCGTGCCTGTTTCCGTGCATAGACGACGGTGAAACGCGCTGTCTATTCGATGTTTCGATTCGTTACCCACGAACGCTGGGGGATGCGCTTAGCAAAACTCCAGATACCAATACGAATGCGCAACCACAAAGAGAGGGTGCCGAAAAGGCTGATAGTGTTATGCTGGACGCGGATGACGACCAAGTGGACTTGTCCGAGGAAGAGAAGGCCATGGAGATGCAAGTCATCTGTTCTGGTACACTGACAGACGATGTGAGTGTTCATGTACAGTACCAGATGTGTTTTTTGCTAACATACAAAGATTC